CCGTCAGTTGTAAACTGATTTGAAAAATGCTTCTTTTATTTTTTTTCATATGTTATTTTATTAGGTGGCAAACAAGCGTACGGCCCACCTAATAATGAGTGGTTACTGTAACATAGTTCCATAGTTTTATCTAAGAAGATAAAACTATGGAACTATGTTACAGTATATTTATAGATTGGGCTAATAGAAATGTTATTAAAATCGATTCAGCAATTTAGTTTTTATATAAAATAACTAACATAAACTATAAAATAACTTGTTTACCACAATTGAAATCGATTCTTTTGTAATGAATTTATGAGGAATTAACCACAGTAATTTACGGCAAGACCGTGTGAAGTTTGATTTTATATAACATCTCACTATAATTATATAAATAGATGCAAAAAATGTATGGATGAATGTTTGTTGCTCTTTCACACAAAAACTACTGAATTAATTTGAATAATATTTAGTACATGAGGAGGTTATACATATCTTTAAATATATACTAATTCACGCGGGCAAAACCATGATATACTCTATGTTGCTGTCCAACTTTTCCCCTTGCCCGTAGCCAAGTTGTTTTTTTTATACAACTTAGAATGGCAAACAAGCTGACGGCCCACCTGATGTAAAGTGGTAACCGTAGCCTATAGAAATGAGCAGTACCATGGACATAACAGAGTAAACTGTTTCGCCCATGATACCTCCCATACGTTGCCATTCCTGAGGACTCAGGTGTTATTCCTCTGTACCCAGTAAATTCACGCCATATCTCACCCTTCAAACTGAAACACAGCCATGCAAACACAACTGCTTCACGGTTAAAACACGAATGGGACAGAGGTACCCAAACAATCGACTTTTGTACAAAGTCTCCCTCTGGTAATGTACTTTGCTATTATTGTAATGGTTTCCCAAACAAGGGATACATTTATCCGTGGCAATAAAATATCTTTTATCGTGCCCGGGGTTAATATTTTCGCTTCTAGAACTGTCCAATTGTAATTGAATATCGTTTGGAAAGATTTGATATGATATTCTTGTTCTTAAATCAATGTTCAAAGCAAAATTGTATTATTTTAGACATAAAATATTATTAGTTGTTATTTTCTTTACCTATCCCAATAATGAAGTACCGCGTTCGTGATTCGCTGTTCATGCCAAAGGTCGACTGGTAGAGAATGCTACTAGCATCAAGTCCGCCTTTTGTGCCATATTTTCTTTTCGTCAATAAAGTTATTCACATAAATAAATTAAGACTTTTCAAAATAGATAATTCAAATGAGCTAACTTAGTCTATCTATCTGTATATTTGTTCCAATGTCACGTGCAAACTACTGCACCAAATTAGATACGATTTTCATAGTTATGTGCATGAAGGTACAACGTTCTATTAATATAATAAATGTAAAATAAATATAATAAATGTGAAACTTTGTAACGATGGACGGATAAATAGACAGATATTTCTTACTCTTTCATGATAAAACTACTTGAAATATAATGTTTCAGATAAAAAAAAAATGATTTTCCAAATCGGTTTGAAAGTGACGAATCGAAAATCAGTTCGATGGTTTAGTTTTAAGAAATCAAAATAACTGCTTATTAATTTAAACTTTAATGCACAGTAAATTATGTACATTTGGCGGACTCAACACCGGGCGGTGTTCTCTACCAGTCAATCATTGGGCAAACAGAGAAATAAGTAGGCGGTGCATTTTAGAATAGAGAAAAAAATAAAGCAATACTTGATATATTCATATAATATAAACATTTAATTAGACTGATATAAATATACACATAATATAATAAATAAATAAATATATACATATAATAAATACATGCATAAATAGATACGTAAAATATTAATTACTATATGAAACAATTAAATAAAACAACTGCAATAGAAGAGCAAATAGCAATCTGTGACTCAAACAGAGCAACCAGCAGGAGAAGTTTAAAGGGAAAGTGATTTTTCTAAGAAATAGTTGTGCAAATTGTGTTTAATAGTACATTACTGCAGCGGCCAGCAACTGAGGCATTGATGGACGAACGCGCAAATGTGGGCCGAGGCATAGCCGACGCACACATACGTGAGTCTATCAATGCCTAGTTGTGGCCAAGGCTTGTATAGTACTTTTCTCAAACAATGCGCGGCAATCAAAAATACAATTTTACTTTTTAAGTTCAATGACGAATAACGAATAAAAATAATAATTTTTCACTCGCCATAATGTTCCTTTGTTTTTTTCAATAAACAGCTTTCTATTTGCAAGCCAGTTCGAAATTTAAATAAAACCTTGTATTAGTTACCTCCTTGGTAGCCATCTTTCGAAGTAAAAGGTCATTCCATTTGTAAATTACAGGACAGATATGAATTTACATAGTAATTTATCTAGCCGCAAAACACGACAGATATGGATTTTCATACAACTTTTGCCGGCCGCTGCCCGCATCTATCTGGCCAGTACGGCAAGTTTGATTTATCTTGAAGAAGATTGTCAAAATAATGCTCACATTTTCAAGCATGTTTGAGAAAAAGCTATAACTTGCTTAGGATAGACGTAAGGTAGGTTATGTCACAATTACAGTTCGTTTTTGTGGAAAAGAATCTTAAATTATTTAAAGTCCGTTTATCAGAAGAAGACTTTGTACAAAAGTCGTCTACTTGGGTACTTCTGTCCAATTCGTGTTTCAACCGTGAAGCAGTTGTGTTTGCATAGCTGTGTTTCGGTTTGAAGGGTGGGATATGGCGTGAATTTACTGGGTACAGAGGATTAACACCTGAGTCGTCAGGAATGGCAACGCATGGGGGTATCATGTGCGATACAGTATACTCTGCTATGTCCATGGTACTACACATGTGTATAGGCGACGGTTACCAGTTTCCATCAGGTGGGCCGTCAGCTTGTTTGCCATTCTAAGTTGTATAAAAAAATCAAATTACCAGCTCCCTCCCCCCCAATTGGGGGGGCATATTCTGTAAGTTGTTTCACTGTAATTAGAGCGTAGGCCGATAATTAAGTTGGCAGCAACTGACACTAACGATGAATACTGCTCATCAAGCGACCGCCGACAGGAGCGTCCATCTTGTTGATTTACATTTCAGAATTTAAGCCAGCGTTGATGGCCGTCAAAATGTCATTATATTTTTATTGATGGATATCGTATATTAATCACAATTTGTTTTTAAATAACTTTAGTGTAGTTTAATGTAGAATATATGTAAATTTCTGACATTGTTAATAATTTGCACGCCGACATAGAGGCGGAATGTATATGGTAAATGTAAACCTCTTTCATCGAAAACTACCTACATTCTAACAAAGTAAATTCATTTATTTTAATTTCATTTAAAAAAAAACTAAGTTCTCAAGTCGGTTGTTTTTCTCATGTTTGTCACCTCAGAACTCCATTATTTGAAAGCAATTTGAAAACTTATTTGATTTGAAAAATCTTTTTTTTTTTTATTTGAAAGTATATGCTTTCGAATTGATTCTGTAGAAATTTCATCAAAATCGTATGAGATAATTCTTAAGATCTTTTTGTATATTTGACCAAGTTATTTCACCTCCATATGTCTATTTATACCAAATATATTTATTTGTTAAGCCCTTAAGGCGTTAAGAGGTAACAAACTAATGAACAAACCTACTTTCATATTTCTAGTATTAGTAGAGAAAAAGCAATGTTTCTAAATAGCTTAGTTTTAGACAAAATGTTATCGAAAATCTTTCGGCTATAATTATGTAGTCTAGTTTAAAATATTTATGTCGCAAAGTAAGCAAATCGTAAGTGCAATAACTAGTATATCGGGGGGGAAAGGGATTGTTAGCAATGGAGTTTGACAGCCCCATTGCTAGCAATATGCCCTATTAGGTCGACCCCCACGTGGTTCCCCCTGGAAACCATCGTGAACAATTCTTGTTGAATTCATCACGATGGGCCAACTGACCTGCTTCATCCTTACCTATCATTCTTCACTGGTGCTCCGCCGGTGTATACCGATAGCGCAAGCGGGGTTAACATACCATTATCACCCATTAAAAAAAAAACAATGTATCTATTTCTTACAACAAAGACCATAAACACATTCAGTACATACATGAACTTATCTCGTGTTTATAATGTTCAAATATTTTTTTTATTCTCTACAGGTAACAAAAACCTATTCAAAGATTATTCTATATACGGAACCCTCAGTGTATTAGTACAACTCTCACTTGACCAGTTTAATTTAGATATATTATAAATTCAAAGTCTAATTAATTCTTTTTTATGTTTATAAGACAGAACACACAAGATACTAGCAAAATTTTAATAAATATTTAAATCTAATAATAATCATTCATTCAATCAACATCACAATACATCTAAATTGGTATATAATGTACAAATGTAAAGTAATAAACTATAATTTGATATTTATCTTATATATAAAATTCTCGTGTCACGGTGTTTGTTACCAAACTCCTCCGAAACTGCTTTACCGATTTTTATGAAATTTTATGTGCATATTGGGTAGGTCTGAGAATCGGCCAACATCTATTTTTCATACTCCTCAATGATAAAGGTGACCCACCCCTATTTTTTTTTTTTGTTATTTTTTTTAACAAATTTTTTCATTTTTATTTTATTATGATTTAGCATTGAAAAATACACACAACTTAAAATTTTCATCGTATTACGATCAACCCCTGTCTTTTAATCGCGATTTTTATATTTCGCAATAAGTGGTAAAACAACGTTTACGGGGTCAGCTAGTATATTAATATAATAAACTATAAAATAAAAAAAAAATTGTCTATGCATTTATATAAGGTTTTATTATTTAGATTTCAAATATTATTTCCGTAACTATATATCTTATGTTTTCAAATTCAATTTTAATAATACTATTAATGTACACAGAATTATTATAATAAATAATATAATAAAACATCCCTAAATAAATAAGTTTGTAATAGACACAATATAAATAAAATTACGTATCAAATATAAGAACGTCTACTTACCTTTGATAACATATTTTCATCACTGTTCACTTTTTCTTATTACAAAAAAAAAAAGGTCACCAAAAACCTATTACTTTTGTATAGGAACAGGAAATAGTTCGAATATCACGTATCGGCTTAACGACTTCATTCATACACTGGCCATCTCACAAGGTGAGGTTATATTCCAAATTTAAAATTGACATTCGTAGAATTACGCGGGAAACGCATTTTAATGCACAAACACTATTCACGTATTGTTTTCTAGGTTATTCCGTTGAATTTACAGTAATGTGGATTGCGATTCGCGATTTTTATGCGAGGGAACGTCGACCGGCTGCCCGGGAGATCCCGCGGGTTCCAGAGGCTGACTCTCGGCTCGCCTGTCCCGCTGCTAGAAGCTTCGTAGGCTGCGCCTCCCCTCTTGCGTAACTATTGTTATAAATTTTTATAGACAATTTATTTATCAACATTTCGCAATCACATCATTTTAATGTACGTGCATTATAACACTGTAGGTATTACCTGTGTTATATACACTAATATTTTTCCATTATAATAATTTTACAATAATTTATACTTTTAGACAAAAGTTTATCACTGTTATTTTAACTGTGAGGAAGTAATATTTAAGTGCGTGGAATGATAATTTATTAGTAACTATAAGACAGTATTTTATCTAGGAAAATGTCGGAAAATCACGAATATCTTTCACCATAGGCAGCTTCGAGTGGCCCACATCTTTCGGGAGCGACCTCTTTGCGCAGGCGTTAACTGGAAAACTCGAGTGAGACAGAAACTTTAGGCACATTAAAACGAGCGAGACAGTAGCAGAGTCGAGAATAAGTGCATATAATTCAGTCAATTTGTTATCTAGGCACGTTCGGATTTGAAAATCAAAAGACAAATTTTAAAGTATCCAATGAAAACTGTCTATTTACTTTAACATATTTATTGTAGACATTATAATGTAATTAATCAAATTAAAGATTATAAAAATATTTAAATATAAAGTATTTTTTTATTTAAATAAACTTATTTAAAATCATTTTAAAATGGTCACTTTTTATGACCCTACAGCCTAATTCGGTATGCACTTTAGTTTGAAAAGAATAGACAAGAAACTCAGTTATTGCTTTTTTCAAACAGAATTTAATTTTTCAAATTATAAAATACATACAGATATTGATAAATACTATTTATTGGGTAATTAAATACCATAATATTAAATATGTATGTAAATTACAAGGTAACACCAACTCGGGTACAAACAAAAACTTATTGTTATAGTACTCAACGCTGTCTATTCATCTAAGGGTAATGATATCGGTATAAAGCACCATTCACACAATTCCGGGCCGTCGACGCCCATCAAAGAGGGAAAAATTATTTGAACATTTTGTATGAACTCGTTTCGTGTACCGCAGCAGGCTGTCCCGTGTGTGGTATTTATTTATTAACCTTAATTGACTACTTTGATTGACACATAAAATTATACGTCAATTTAAATTTTATTTAGAACGGTGATAGATCAGCTTGTTATCCCCTCACTGTGGGGGGGGGAAAGGGATTGTTAGTAATGGAGACTGAGAATCCCATTGCTAGAAATATACCCAACCATGTCGACCTCCTCGCGGTTCCCCCTGGAAACTATCATGGTTAATTCCTGTTGAATTCATCATGATGGGTTAACTGGCATGTTTTCATTCTCATCGATCACCCTTCAATGGTGCTCCGCCAGCGTCCCGTTAGCGCAGGCGGGGTTACCATTTCATTTTCAACCATAAAAAAAACCCCTCACTGTGGTTCAAAGGTCTCAAATTCAAATCTCAGTGCTCTCCTCTCTCTCTTTCTCTCTCTCTCTCTTGTTTCTCTCTCTCTATTTTTAAATTTATGTTTGAATCATTTAAAAATTGTTGTCACTTACTTCGAGAGCATGTGAAGCCATCGTCCAGTAAACTACCCCAGTGACCTTCTTATACATAAAGGTCTTATAAAAACTGAAAATTTTCGACACTAGAGGACAGCACTCTCACGCGACTAGTAGTAGTATTTAAAACTAGATGTATCCCGCGGCTTCACCTGGGTGTATTAATATGTTAAGAATCCTATATACTAAATTAGGAAATAATCTATCCGTAATTTTATCACAATTAAAGTCGGCTTTTTTTTATGAAACGCAACTATTAACCCTTCTTTGTATAATGGTGGAAATTTCCATCATAACATTGAATGCCCAAAAATTATATAAAAAAAAAACAAGTTCACTTTAAGTTGATCGTGTCTGGATACCTTTTTAATGTCCATTGTAGAAAAAAAAACATAGCTGTCAAATTTATTTTGTTAACCATTTTTCCTTTAATTTAGAACATGAATTGTATCACCTTGATTTATTTCACTAATAAAAAAAATCATGCAAAAAAGTGTTAATTATCTTAGTTGCTGTTATACCACCATAGTGTAAAAATAGTATATCATAGAGTAAGGTAGAGTGCCTTACACTGTGATATCACTTTCTTGATTTAATTTGTCTAAATCAAGACGACAGTGTGGTCGCTCCCTGCCGCGATGGATTATAATAATTATATCTCGAGTAATCGACATTCGGCGCGGTTGCTACATTTACCACAACGGCATCGTACCATAAATTAACGATCCCATCGAATTTATTTTTGAATCTTACTAATATAATAAAACTTGTATAATTTGCATTGAATAAAATTTTGTAATTATGGAAACAACAGAAATACTTCTCAGGTTGACCACTAGATGGAGTTATTATTTTAGTATATGTGTGTGTGTGTGTAATAATGTAGCTTTCTCTTGGTGAAAATTTTTAAATTCGGTTCTATAGTTTTCTAGTGTATCTATTACAAACAAACAAATCGTTTTTTCTTTACGATATCAGTAAATATTATACTACTGGAATAAGGAATGGCTTCTTCTGAGAGGGAGGGAGACTTTGTACAAAAGTCGATTGCTTGAGTACCTCTATACCATTCGTGTTTCAACCGTGAAGCAGCTGTGTTTGCATGGCTGTGTTTCGGTTTGAAGGGATATCCCATATGGCGTGAATTTACTGGGTACAGAAGAATAACACCTGAGTCCTCAATAATGGCAACGCATGGGGGGGTATCATGGGCGAAACAATATACTCTGTTATGTCCATGGTACTGCTCGTGTCTATAGGCGACAGTCACCACTTTCTATCAGGTGGGCCGTCAGCTTGTTTGCCATTCTAAGTTGTATAAAAAAAAAACAGCTTTCTGTGTCTCGAATACGTTTCCACCAGGTTGATTCTTGTTATACTTAATACATTACTTTCATATGAATAAACGATTTTGATTTCTTGACATTCATTGTGACGTAGCTCGACCAAGAATAGGATCCGGACCTCATTTATCCTCAATGTCGGCTTCCGACATATTTTCCGAGCCGACTCTAAAGAAACATCCAGGATACAATAGTGGCGACTTCAATACAAAGCACGTCAATTTATGAGGCGACGAGACGCGCACGGCTCTGCATTCCTCTGGATATAGATAACGCGGCCATTTGCGTCTATATACATAATATAGGGCGATACATAGTGTCTCTTTAGCGAATCCACTATATATTGTGTCGACGTAACATACTATGTCAGATTATCCCCAGCAGTTTATATACAATATACTCGTATTTGCTAGCTGAAAACTGAAATACAAAATTTGTTTGAAATAATTATTAGATTTACCGTAAGGTCACGGCATATAATAGGTTTTTTTTATACAACTTATAATGGCAAACAATCTGACGGCCCACCTGATGAAAAGTGGTAATCGTCGCCTATAGACATGAGCAGTACCATGGACGCAACAGAGTATACTGTTTCGCTCATGATACCCCCCATGCGAAGCAATCCCTGAGGACTCAGGTGTTATTCCTCTGTATCCTGTAAATTCACTGCCATATCTCACCCTTCAAACCGAAACACAGCCATGCAAACACAATTGTTTCACGGTACAATACAATAGGTATTTTCTTTCGCATGTATGTAGTAAATCGACTGAGGGAACTAAATAGTTTAGGAATGGGTAGCAGTGTCCCTCTTAAAACATCACTAAGGCCTGACTGTTGTGGCTAATTCGGCTGTCAAGAGTGGCAACTACTGGCAAAACCCTTATAGGTGAAACCTATGTTCAGCAGTGAACAATTAACGGCTGATATGATGTAGCCTGTTCCTATTGCAAGTTGCATAAAAATATATTTTATGTAGTCACAAATATAACTGCAGTACAGTAAAATATCTCCCACTTTATACATTGCTATGAATAATTTGCTGCGTTGTGATGCAGCTACGCCGTAGCCCGTATAAGCTGCTTGTCGGAAAATATTATAATTTATTTTTCTATTCCATTCGTGACCACTTTGAATCCACAAATTTTGAATTTGTAACTTGCTATATATACAAGAACATACTATTCTAATATTGTACTTTTACCGTTTTTTTAATCAACAATAATTTGCTACGACGTAGCGCAATTACGCCGTAGCTCGTAGATGTTACGCGTCTAAAATTATTATATTTTATACTTATATTTATCAGAATTTCTGTCAGTTTATTTTATCTACACAGTAATGTCGGTTTCATGACGAAAATATTATGTATTTATAAATTATAATTTTATTTATTTTTATCTAAAAGGAAAGTTTTTTTTTGTGCAACAGAATCCTAATTATTATTATTAATAATTCAAGTGTGTGTGTGTGTGTGTATGTGTGTGCGTGCGTGCGTGCGTGAGTGCGTGCGTGCGTGCGTGTGTGTGTGTGTGTGTGAATTAATACTGAAACTGCGTGGAGACATTGCATCTCCTTGCATCTTTTATTGAGTATATCATAAAGAGTATTTTAAGGAATTGTTCGAATTGATATCTGCTGCTAATTTTTAGCATCGTATAACTCGTTACAAACTAAAGTTCCGTCCCCACCACTTAGATGAGTAGGGTCTCCATTGTTGTTTTTTACGGCACTTTCTTCTACGTACAACCATATTTTTGAATCAACTTCGAGCAGCAGTATTTCCGAATCGATACGACATTATACCCTTCAAGAAAAAAGCATATTCATTCCTAAATTTCATTTAAAAAAATTCTCAGTGATGATAACCTGTCCTGTCCTAATAGGATGTCACATTGGGGGGAAAGGAATTGTTAGCAATGGAGTTTGTCAGCCCCATTGCTAGCAATATGCCTTATTAGGTCGACCTCCACGTGTTTCCGCCTGGAAACCATCGTGAACAATTCTTGTTGAATTCGTCACGATGGGCTAATTGACCTACTTCATCCTCACCTATCATCCTTCACTGGTGCCCCGCCGGTGTATACCGATAGCGCGGGTGGAGTTACCATTCCATTATCGTCCATTAAAAAAAATAAGATGTCACTCTCGCTCCTATTACAATATCTAAAAGATACATATGTATAAATTTCTATTATATT